TTTTCACTTCTCTTATAGACAGTTTCACTTTTGAGTTACTAGTTTGGGAAACAAATGTTTTGCTTGAACATCCGCATAAAGACGTGGATAATACGCTATTCTGAAAATATTTTAACCTCCTGATACCATAAATCACTATTGTAACGTGAACCATTTTTTAAACAGATGCAAGGGGGAGATCCATTTTGGAGTTTTACTCCAAAACTGATCCTGCTCGTCTGTAGTTTGAAATCCACCCAGTTGTTCTGGTGGAACCTTTCGGGGCTGCTTTTGAGCAGATGCATGACTGGTCCCCAGTGAAGCATCAGCTCTCATTAGAAAAAGCATCTCCCTCCTCACTCAATTCCACATCCAAAAACCTACATCTCAGACACCACCAAGATTTTACCGCAGGTCAACTGGCCCATGAGGGAGCGCAGACTCTGGCCAGAGAAAGTAGCCCTTACCAGCTGCCTGGGTCTCCATCGTTTCTCAGTAAGGCTCTCCGCGATCATCCGAGAGATAAGACCTCGGAGAAGGCAGCTGCCACTGTACCGCGTACATACTGCGGGGGTAACAACACTGTCTGAAGGTGCCCTTAAGAGGCACAGTCGTTTCACACCCTCACAAGCAGGAGCTGTAGGTTTACAGAACCATTACAACTGCACGACTGCATCAGCTTTTTGAGGTTTTAGGCCCCTTAAATTTTGCTGTAATTTGCCTAACAGAAATTTTAAAAAGCATTATTCGAGTGATTTACTCTCAATAACTAGCTTCTTCATTTGAAAAGGAGAGAGAGAGCATGAGAGAGTTATTTTTTCCCCCCCAAAAGAAAGCCATAACCAAACCAAACTGCCACTTTTAATTTCTTATGCTTGGGATTCTACGCAGTCCTTGAAATCCTTCTGGCTTTATAAAAAACCAACTGGATTTCATGCTGTGCAAACTTGATAGAAATATTTAAATAAAAGTTTTCTTTCTCAGCCTGAAACTGTGATTCCTTTTCTTCTTCTCTCACCCATACAGTCCGTGTTTCGGAAAAAATATTCAAGGACAGCATTTTTTTTTGCAGCTTAAGTCGCTCTAAAACGTTATTCAAAAAGCAGTGAAGAGTCAATGTGCCACATTTTGCTTTGGGATTTCAGTTTACTTTGGTAGGGCAAGGGAAGGAGTAGGGAGGATATTTTCAACTCTTAATTCTACTATCTGAGCAACTTCCAAGCAGAACAAGCATCAATCCTTTAATCCCTTGTCAAAATCCACTAGCACAGACACCTGTACTTGCATGGCGTCTCACAGAGGGTAGCACGGCCCTGTTCAAATGCATGAGTCTACACTAGTCAATCTCAAAACACGATTTTTACCTTGGGACGCAACATCCAACTACCCTAGCCAAAACAGAGCCCCAGGGAATTCACGTAGAAATATTTGTTGCTGCTTTTTGCCAGCACCTAACACACATAACAAAACTTTGAAAGCCTCTAACAAAAACTTCCTGAACTCCACAAATCATACAAAGCAACAACAAATTGCTATTAAAATAAACAAACAAAAAAATATTAAGGTACTGACCACAGATATCTACTCTTCTTACAGGCCATCGGAGAAACCACCCTCTCTTTAAAGATATTCTTCCAGTAGTCAGAGTTTCATCGCAGCAACCCTGTGCACAGACTCCAGACTTAAAAATTTAACCAACATCTTGAATCTTTAGTAACCTGGTATCGCACATCCAGACTGAGCTACACCTTGCTAAACCGAGGCACCCGCTGAAGGTCCCGTGTAATTTTCAAGTATAGGCCTAGGTATACTAGGCTATGTTGGGTCACACAAAGGAAAGTCATGCAAGGGAACACCTGCTTCAGAAAGGCTCACAGGATAAAGATGAAAGCAACAGCACAGCTAAGACATGTTATATTCAGCATCAGTAACTAGCTGATGCTACCTAGACTGAAAACTATCCAGACTACAAAAATCACATTTTAACAGATGCATATATATTCCCAGTAAAAGATATATTGACAATAGTGGTCCATTTCTGGAGGTACATCATCCTTCTCCTGCGTTTTATTTAACTTGCACTTAAGGCTCCAGTTTGACAAGGAGTTTAAAATCACAAAAGCCAACTGTTGACAAGAACAGTCCTTTTCCACCCCTGCTTTTATTCTCCACACTCCTGGACCCCTTTCTTCAGAGGCAGCCAAGCTATTCACACATTGTGTCATGAATCAGAGTGGACAACTGATCTACCGGAAAACTTTTAACGGATAGAAAAAGTTAAGCTAATAAAATCCATTAATTTTAACTATGATCAGTTCTCCCATCCAGTTCATTACACACCTGCAAAAACATTAGCATGGCATCATGGGGCAGGATGAAAGTAGCTGAGGCTGGGACTCTCTCTTTCAGTGATGGTGCTGGTTTTGCTCCTTAAACACAGTGTCCACTACTACCTATGTGGAATTAGTCTTATTTACTTCTCTGCCAAGGAGCTGTGGTTCAAATGATGCATTGCATCTTCTATGTTCAAGGTGGAGCCAGCACTACACACATCAAGAATTGAAGGTGAAAAGACTCTGAGCCATACCCTCACTCTTGTCTTCATGCCTACAAAAAAAAGAAGTATTCGTTAATACCTTTTGGGTCCCTCCAACAAGAAATGATCCAACCTGCAGACAAAACTTCCCATCCCACTTCAGAGCACTCTGACAGAAAATTCACAAACGTCCACAAGCTAACAGAAGACCAGACTGCCAAAATGTGACAGCAGTCAATGCTTTGACCCTAACTGTCAGCAAGACTGCAAAATGAATTATAAGCACAGTATTTATAGCCACTGCTAGGAACCCTCGACACTACAGTAACAGGTTGAAACTCTCACAGCAATCTCCTATCTATTAAAATGAAAGTTTTGAAAATAAGTACAACATGAGTAAATCAGCTCAGAGGTCAAGAAGCTGTTAAGGCTTGACGCTCAAAGTCATGTCTGTGTTTTCAGTGCTGCAGCTTTTCTGTATCGGCAAAATGAGAGTAGAAAGGAGGTATCTTTGGCAGATAGAGTTCAGTGTTTGGGCCCATATGGGAAATACACTTGCATCTATGGATAAGCATTATTTCCCACACGGTTCTTGTGGTGAGCCCTACTGATAGTTGGAATTATCATCTTTAGAGCCAACACCCTGAGGTGAACGGGGGTGCAGCATGTTTCCTACCTACCGACATGAACGCTGCATAAAATATCTTCAGCCACTGTTTTAGCCCGCAGGGCTAAACTAGACCTAACACAGGGCTAGTTTCTTGTGCACAAATAAGTAGATTCAGCAGCCATGAATTTACAGAAGAGACAGAGACAAAACCACATACCATCTGTGTAGTATCCCCAGTGCCTGAAACCAAACCAAAAACACAAGGCCATACATAACTGGAAGTTTTTGTTATGACTTTCTAAACACGCCCCTGCCCTTCCCGTGGTGGCCACTGACTGGACAATAAACGTGGCTTCTTGTTTTTGCTTTGACCTTACATCTTTATCTGCAAAGCTCTTAAATTACAGAAGGTAAGTGTGGCCCAGTAGTACAACATACTCTCATAAACTATGCTCCTACTTGTCCTACAACTCGAAGGAATAGTAATCGTTTCCATCAAGGAAAAAAAACGTCAATCTTGCCCAAAAACGTTGCCACAAATCAAATCCCAGTTTCTAATTTACCACACCTCTCTCATTCTCCACCAAAACGTATCAAACCTTGACTTCAAACTTTACTCAGAGCTCCTTGCAGAACAGCTACTCTGAGGAACTTCACTGTAAGGGAAATAGCCCCTCCCCCCACAACTCAAACAAGACTAAAATTTTGTTTCATTTTGCAGCAAACCAGACACACTTTAACAATTTAAACCAGAGACACAGAAAACAGCTATTTAAAGTGTATGCTCTGGTCTGAATCGAGAGCGCAAGCAATTCCGACTGGGCCTCAAAGCCTTGGCCATATCACGTCTCCCGTGGTCCTCAACAGGATCCCAGATTTCCTCCCGTTTCCCCTTGCCCCTCGGGGAGCAGCTGAGGCCCGCGGTGGTGCTCTGCAGCCATAACGGCCATGTCCCAGCCCTGGCTGGGCCACCAAGGCTAGACTTTGCGTTTTGCTTCTTAGGAGCGGCCCTCCGTGAAACCACCCAGGGCACCGCAGTCAGAACGAACAGAGCTGTCCTACCAGTCGGACCGCCAGCAGGCGGCAAGGAAAAGAAGGCAAGAGAGGGATGCCACAACACAAACTAAGTAGCAAACTGCCACTAGTTAGAGATTACTAATTTTAGAGCTCCGTTAAAAGGTACGCAGAGAGCCATGCTTACCCATTTAAAAGGCTGAAAGTTGGTTAATGAACCTATTGCATTTGCATTCTTCTCCCCATGCATGCGTGCGCACACACACGCACACTCACAACACTATAAAACAAGAGTTTTCTTACAACTTACCCATCTGTTGCTTCCTGGCGATAAATAATCCTGGAGCGTGCTCAGAAATTGCAAAATGTAAGAAGAAATTTGTTTTTCCTTTTTACTTTTCATATCTATAAATTTATTTCCACGCTTTATGAGTCATGCCATTCCTTCACATACATCATATTATTGTAGATCCACAGTAGTTATTACGCCACTGAACAATCACTTTCTGGCATTATCCAATCCACCTCAAAGTCCTGAAACTAGCTAACTGTTTCTCTGCCATAAGCTGTTTGGAGCATACTTTACCTTTCTCATCTGTCCCTTGGGGCTAGATCTGTGTCATATTTACACTTTCCAACTTAAGAGAAGCAAATTTACACACCACAAGCTTTTAATGATTGCAGTTATTCACAACAGCAAAATGCATCATTTCCTGAGTATACTCTGTAAGAATATTAGCAGAAGTAAAAACATCCGAGTAGTTGCTACAAGAAAACAATTGCTTGTTTCTTGCTGCCGAGCCTGGGCAGTTTTCCCTTCAGCAGCTCCCCGGACCTATGCAATATAAAACTGGCACTCACCTCCTTCGCCTTCCTCGGTCACAGACCTCGCATAGAAATGTTTTCGGTGCGGCAGTCTACCATTCTCACTACGGTTCTGGCACACTGTAACAGAACAAAATCACCATGATACCGCTTTTCCAGCCTGGCGCGTTAGCCTGTCAGAAGAGAGCTCGCAAGCACCCATAAAAATTAACTCCAGTCTCATGAAAATAACTGTCTCAGAGGAGGAGTAACAGCATTTGGAGGAAAAGGAACAAGCAGGAAGCTGATCTCAGCCGCGCGGAGAGCACGGACGGGGCGGAGCACAGGGACGGAGCAAGGAAAAGTGGAGCAAGGACTTGCTGCTTATAGCTCGTTTTTGGCAGTATGGTCGAATACCACCGCATTACTGAAATACCAGCGTTGCAGCGAACGCAAACACCAATACGGCCCCCCCCCTCCCCACCCGCAGGCCCCCGGCGCGCGCCGGCGCCTGGAGGAGCACGCCCCACGCAGAGGCGGCCGTGGCACAGGTAGCGCTGCACAAATCGCCTCCCACCCACCCGCCTGCCCCGGCACTCTGCTTTTCCCCACAGGCGCCGGGGCCTTCGAGCGGCGCTTCCTCACTGGCAGGGGCTGCCCGCGCAGAGCAGGCTGCAGCTAGAGGCGACTCAGCTCGCTTTCACTTGTAAACTGATTTGAAAAAAACCACATGCTTCAGAATGTGCAGTGAATACTGCACTTGCTTTTGTGACTAGAGGAAATGCATTTTATGCACTCAAACAGATCACAGTTATCTTCTAAAAGGAAGTAGCTGCCATTTATTTTTTGTGCATAAATAATTTTTTTTGATAAAGCTAAAAAAAAAAGGGGGGGGGGGGAGGGAGGG